CAATCAATGAGTAATGTTATATACTTTATGGTTTCAACAACTTGTGATTAATATCAAGTGGGATGATGTAGTATTCATAAGCTAATTTTTCTATGGATTACATTATGAAATTAATGTAAAGAAATTGATGCTCAACTTATTTGATCCTTAGACATTGAATCAAGCAATTGACTTTGTTGTGAAGTGTGACAATCAACTTTTTGAATTTTGATCTAAGAGTTGTAAAAATGAGCCTCAATGTTTTTATAATTCAATGGAAATTTCAATATCTTTTCAATACATTTATTCAAAAGTGGAAGATATGCAAATTCATGTGGTACATTTCAAATATCTTCTTGAGCAAGAAAAGACTCATTATGAAGAAGAAGAATTGTACTTATATTATAGAGAAACTAAGCAAATTGTTCAACATTGTCTAAAGAAATGATGCAATCACAAAATAAAAAATATGACTATTAGAGAAGTCAATATATCAAAAAAAAAAAAAAAATTGTTCAGCTACAATAGAGACTATGTGGTTGGAACCTCATATAATATCTAATATACATCCTATTTTTTCCTCAAAACCGTCTCTTTATTTTACAATAGATGTTAATTTAGCACCTAAATATTACAAAGCCTGTATCTTGTTAGATTAAGAAACCTCAGCTTTTTTCTTAAAAAAAGAGTTTATCAAAAGACATAACATATCTTTGATAAAACAAACTAAACTTGTTCATATAGAAGTCAAAGATGTTTGTTTATTATCTTTTGGAGATGTTACTCATAAAATCCTTCCTATAGAAGTAACAATTAATGATCATCATAGCTTTATAATATTTAATATCATTAGACCTCCTTCTAATCTAATCAATTTAGATTTATTGTGGTTAGAAAAGTAAAATCTTCAAATAAATTGGATTAATAGTAGTCTTGACTTTTTTTAGGATAAAATTTAGAATTTTTTTAACTAAGTAGAAAGTCATAAGTCTAGTACATCAAAATCTTTATTTATAGGTGCAAGAGTTTTCTTGTATGCCTTCCAAAGAAGATTACCTTATGTTATTTATGCCATATTTATTTCCAATGATAGAAAGACTTCAAGTAGTATTCGAAGTCAATATCAAAATTATCAAGATATCTTTGAGAGAAAGAGTGCGGATACTTTTTTGGAACATCATCCCTATGATTACTCAATTGTTCTTGAAGAAGGAGCTCAATTGTCATTTGGACCAATCTATAATTTATTACAAAATGAATTGGCTGAATTCAAGGAATATATTAAAAAAAAAAACTTAGCTAGAATTTTCTTATGTTATTCTAAATTTCTAGCAAAAGCTCCAATATTATTTGTGAAAAATAAATATAGATCATTTTGGATATATGTAGACCATCAAAGGCTCAAAAAATTACCATTAAGAATAGATATCCTCAATCTTTGATATCTAGACTTCTTGATCAATTAAATCAAGCAAAAATCCATATTAGAATAAATATGGTACACATCAAAGAAGGAGATGAATGGAAGATTGTGTTTTGAATAAAATATGGTTATTTTGAATATAATGTCATATCTTTTGGACTTACAAATACATCAGCCGCTTTTCAACATCTTATGAATAATATTTTTTGAAATTTTTTTAATGATTTTTTTATTTATTATTTGGATAATATGTTAGTCTATTCTAAAACTACAAAAGAGCATAAATTTTATATTTGTCATATATTATATATTAAAATAATTTAATATTAAAATAGTAGTTAAATATTTTTGATAAGAGCTATTATATTAGCAAACTTAATAAGTGTATTAAAATCCAAAGACAAGAATTTTGATAAATTAGCATCTTTTTTAAATAAAAAATATCTTTACTAAAATATCAATACTTTGAAGGTTTTTTATATTAGTTAATTTTATTATAATATCCTTTTATAATCAAATAAGTTAAAATTATAAATTATATTTATAATATATTTTTTTAATATCATAAATTATTTCTATGGAATATCTATATTATGGACTTAAGATGCTACAAAAAACTAGATTAGACATTGTGCCAATTACAAAGAATTAAGTAAAAAGTATTAAAAAATAGAGTATAAAAAATAAAATAATAGAAGGATTTCAAAAATATAGCTATTTTATTAAATTCAATAACATAATAGAAGGATTTCAAAAATATATTTTTTTTCAAAGAAAGATAAAAATAAATAAAAATAAATAAATATATATATTAAAAAAAAACTAGAATGGCTATTCTCAAAAGAAAAGAATATTAGAGACCTTTGGAATTAGACTAATAGCAAAAAAAGAATTGACAAAAATAAAGAGGGCTTTATTCTTACCTCCATATATACTATCTAACTAAAAGCTACATGACAATATTCAAGAGGATCTTCAACACATGTTCAATTTGTAAGATACATGTCTAAACTTAGAAAGTAAGTTTTTTATACATGCACCACATGGTTAGTTTGTACTATAAGCTATCAACATGTGTAATAAATAGCTAACTTGTTGGCCAAGTGTTTAACCTATTAATCACCTATAAACATGTATAAAAGTGAAACTATGTCTTCATAAGCTTTTTATAAGGTTTTTAGTGGAATATGTAAATATCATAGAACATCTACTTAGAAAATGTTTTGTTCCAATATAAGAACTCATGTATTCAAATCTTGTTCTATTTTATAAGAGATATTTAAATAACAACCAGGATAAGATTATCAAAGATTTATGAATGTTTTATAAATTTTTTAATAATATTTAGGAATTTTAAAAATTACCAAAAATAAACATCATCTTATTGAGATAAATATTAAAATAACACATATACAATAGAGATACGAAATAATATAATATTTTTTTTTCCCACTGAGTAGTATTTATTTCTAATTCGAAATTGCCAGGTTGAAATCTTAAACCTAAAACTAAAAAGAAATTAGAATAAGGAACCTAGAATGAAGAAATTAGAATAAAGAAAATCGATTGCTTACATATTTAAATTATTGAACTTATTTTGTTAGACTTTGGAAATACATTCATGACAGTAATCAAGCTGCTTTGTTTTTTGTTTATTATTATATTAGGAAGTAACATTTATGAGAATATCTTCACACATAAGTTTGTCTATTTCTTTATTTTTATTCTTTATGTAAAAGGCAACTAATAAATCTAAAAGTAGAAAGCTACAGTTTGAGCAAATATGGGTTGTGGCTATATATATATATATATACACACACATACACACATAATTTTCTTAATAAAAAAAGTTCTTGATAGAAGCATGCGTGATTTTTGCAATTTACACATTTGCTTTTCCCCTCTCTTTTCTCTATTTACATTTCACTTCCTTGTACAGGAATTTCTTCTTTGGATGAGACGAACAAACAACCAAAACTCCAATTCAGTGCCACAACACAGTCCACTTCATGTAAAAGTGGTGAAAGCCGATCGCTCCACCATCAACGACAATGGTAATAAAACGAACAAAAATTTTAAATATAAAAATATAAATAAATAACAACAACAACCACCACCACCTGATGGTGTTGGTGTCGATGAGGAGAAGTGCCCCATTTGTTACTATGTGCAAGCGCTGTGTCACCTGCTTGGGAGAGACAACGGAGTGCGGGTGCAATGGTGAGCTGATTGCAGCTGTTGCCATAACCTTCAAACGCAGCCATAACACCACCTCGGTTGAGAAGCATCGGATCCTCAGGCACCCCACACTTGTTTTACTACTGCACATCTTATCCCAAGCTTTGCATGCAAGCGCAAATGCAAGCATTGTCTGCAAAGGAGCTGCTGGTACACGGAAAAGGGTTTTTAGCGTTCAAGGGAGATTGCCTGAATGGGAAGCTCAGCGTTTGTCTCGTCTGATGGAGTTTTCTTTTTTTCTTTTTTTCCGTGCAGCGACATGGAGCATCCGTGCCTTTGAGTGCATGAAGCTCCTGTTGGTACTCTAATCTGGGATGACTAAGAAATGGGGTTGCTTGACCCCATGTGAGTGACTGCCAGTCGTTCAACGGTCCCTGGCGCGCCGCTCGCCGGGAGTGGGCAGACCTTGCATGCATCGCCATCGTATGGTTGCAGTTACTAGGGGTTCTACAGAGTGTTTTTTGTTTTGTTTTGTTTTGTTTTTTTTTTGTTTTTTTTTTTGTTTTTTTGGTTTTTGTGTTTGTGTTTGTGTTTGTAGGTTTAGAGCGTAGGGGTCCCATGATGAAGCACTGTGTGTAAGGTGGGCTACACCTGCATGCGCCAGAGGAGACTTGTTGTGTCTCCCACAAGTATTGATCGCGATCTAGCAACCATTCCTGTGCCCCTCAGAAACCCACCTAAGCTGCAAATCCGTTTATTTATTTATTTATTTATTTATTTCGTTTTTGCCTTTGTCGCTGGACTGTGCGTGGACACCATGCAGCAGGAGTTCAGAGGGGGAAAAAGACCCTTCGAACGTGTACTTGGCTGGGTTGACAAGAATGGGTACTGTTGAGAAATCGTGCACAGAACAAGGTGGAAAAAGGCTTCTTGGAAGTTCAGTTTGACCACAGAATGAATCTATCCACTCAAGCAATCTTAGTCTCATTGCCTCGGTTCCAAGCACGGTTGCAACTACTGCAGCACGTTATAACCAGGGCGTTGCCGGGTGAGGGACATATGGTGGTCACAGAAGAAGAGGCATTACACCAATGCATTCAGCACGTTTTCGCTGCAGAAGTTGTGTTGGTGAAGTATGACTCAAGAAACTATCGTGATTTGAAAGCTGTAACGTATTCGTGGGTTGAAGTATGGTACCACGGATCTGCACCCACCATGTACAAATAGATCTTAGAATTATGACAGTGAAAGTTACAGTAACACTGCTGCTGTAAGGACCGCAAGTAGATACTTGCAACTGTCACCTCGTGAAACAGGCGTGCTTGTATTCTATACACGGCTTCATTCAAGGCATAACCAGGATTCCGACACATTCACGAGCATTCCGGCCAGGCCACTTCACAAAGATAAATGAGGCCTGTAGAATAAAAAGAGGTGCCACTTTATTCCATGAGTGTGGTCAGGGACGCACAACAGCGACAACGAAAGATTTTTTCCTCCTTTCCTACCTTGAGAACCAATGCTTATTCGCATATGTACAATTACACGGCCGACAACAATACTGCAGATGCACGGACCATCGCCATCACTGTGTCACCAAGGCAAGTGAATTGAAGTTGTAGTAATCCGATTAGTGTGTTTCGGTTCTAGCTCTGGTCCAAAGGGGCTATGTGTCCCTACTCTGACTTTTTACATAAGTCCAACTACTTAACTACATAATTCCTCAAGATTCGATCATATATCTAGCAAGGTTGCAGCACCTAACTTCGAAGCTCCTGGTTGCTTTTCCCAGAGTTTTCTGTTGCCTTCCTGCTGCTGTTCAAAAAGGCACAAGCGCCGACTGGCATGGTGACGATCGATGCTCGACATCGTCACCAATGATCGCCGATGGTGCAACTTTGGTTGACGTTGGATTGCACATGGTGGAAGAATAACAAGTGGTACATCGTGAAAAAACACTGCCTAAAGTGAATTCAACTTGGATTCAAGGAAAAAGTGTATGGGTACAGATGAAGAAACGAATCAAGCCCAATCCCACCAGTTGGGCAAGAGCAGGAAGGTTTGGTCGGGATTGAAGCTGTGGATCTCTTCCAGCTTCACTTGAGATGCAAGTGACTGATCAGCGCAAATCTCTGGCATATTGGGACCCACGAAGTTTTCGGGAGAAAAGTGGGGGTACTGGGCCACTCCCAGGCCCTCGTCAGGCTGCACCACACTTGTGGACAAAGTGCTCCTACTAGCGCTGGTGTGGCTCGTGCGAGGGCTATCAGCGTCCATGACCTCGCTGGAATTGCTATCCGAGCTCATGGTTAAGTGAGCGCCGGCTTCCTCGGGTGCCACGGGATCCACATGTATGGTAGGAGTTGTGCGATTCCTCGATGACACAATGTCGGACCTCTCCGATTGCGCAGGGGAGGCAGGGTGACTCGTTGTGTCACACTTGCCCTGAACGAATTCGGCGGGCTTGACGTCGTCATTAGAGATTCCCTTGAGGCGACTCACCTGCAAAACAGAGCGAAATGGGAGGTTAGGTTTTGGTAATGTATGGTGAACACAGCAAAAACAAGAGACTTGGCACTCCTTGAGCTCAAATTTGAAAAGGCAAGTGGAAAGGATTAAGATGCTAAGTACCTCAGCTTTAAGAGCACTTGTGTCTAGAGTAACGGCTTCGAAGTCTGCTTTAAGCCTGTCGTAGGCTTTCTTCAGGGTCTCGTAGTCGCGCTCGAGCTGTTTGGTTTTCCACCTTGCCCGTCTATTCTGGAACCACACCGCCACTTGACGAGGTTGCAGTCCAAGCTCCTTAGCTAGTTGCATTTTCCTCTCGGGCTCAAGCTTGTTTTCCACTTCAAAATTCCGTTCTAATGATCGCACTTGTTCTAATGACAATCTCCTCTTTTTCTCCACGTGGTGTGCGAATTCGTCGATACCTTCGTCGACATCCTCTTGCTCTTCTACACTCGGCCCATCAAATGACGAAAAGTAAGGCAGTTTTTGCCCACAAGCCCCCATCATGTTTTCGAGACTCTCCGATGAACGCGGCACTGCAACATATCCTGCAGATTCGATTAGATACTTGTTCAACTCAAAATCCAACAAGAGAGGACTGAACAGCATCTCCTTCAGATGGCAGGCGAGGACAACAAAGATAATATTGTCCACCAGATCAAGGGATTTTTAGTGATTCTGCTTGAAGTGTTTTCTGTAGAGAGAATACAAGGTCTAATAGAGAATCGCTCTGCGAAATCGTTGTGCCGAGCGGAGTGCCAAAAGGAATACCGGTGAAAGATATTTGTCGCACATGCGAATACATTTTTCACATTCATAATGACGGTTCCACGAATCCTTAATCTTAAAATGTTGGGCGTCTTTAAGTCTTATGCGAAGAGATGGACCGAGAGACAAGTGGGCCAAAATGCAGCCCGAAGTTCAATCAACCGCACGTCACTTCACACAAGGTGACATCGAAAAAGCTTCAATTCTCTTTTCTTGCAATGCTCGTGTATCATATCCGGTCAACACTGCGAAATGCTCAGCGTAACCAGACGAAGGAGAACAAAAATGACAACATCGTCCGACGAAAAAACTAGCAACATATCTAGCGAGCCAAACATTCACACCACCTACCTACATGAACTTTTCAACCGGAATCATTTATGTACCTTTACCATGTAGAACAAGCGAGGCCCTTCAACAAGGAGCGGTTTGCAGAAGAAGAGTAAGGCACAGACAACAGTTGAGCATATCACCAACGGACTGGCTATGTCCTCAACATTGAGTTGTTCCCTTGACGAAGCTCATTTCTAGGCCGATTTTCTGAAGGCTATCGTGCGACAAGCTCTCTTAGCAGAAACTTTGCTCTACCAACTCGGAAACAAGTGTCTTCAAAAATAAGAGTGGCTAAGCAACCTGCATTGCACCTTGCACGCATTTCCAACGCACCTTCGCATGGTGCAAATCTAATCACGTATGCCCAGTGTAGGATCGAGTGTAAAGCATATAATGCACACCTTGTTGCATGCTCACGCGAGGGGAGCAGGACCCTTGAAGCAGAGAAATCAGAGTGTCGGTGTTGTTGTCAATGTTGCGTCTGAGCATGGCGTTCTGTCCTCCGAAGGCGGGTAAACTAGGGACTACCATCGTTTTTTCCCTGATCTACTTCAAGCTTCCTGATCTTGCAGGTGCATTGGACACCTTGACCCTGCCCGTGGGCCTCCTTACACCCTTCCCTCCCCTTTCCTTTCAAGTCTCTATCCCCTCTTGCCGACGCGCTCGACACAATCGTGATACAGCAATCACTGTGGCCCCAGGCTTTCCTTTATCGTGTCCTCGACGAGGTGATGAGCTCTTCCGACTGCAGTCGGCTCACAGTCGCGTGCCAATAACCGAGTCAAATGGAATATTGGCAAACGATTGAACGGAAATTAAACAATGCATAAAATATTATACAACGAAAAAAGTGAAAGGAAAAGAAAGGAAGAGGAGGAAAGGAAAAGAAGCAGCATCAGCACAAGCACAAGCAGAGAACATGGGGATTCCCCGTGCCCTCGCATCCTCCAAGCCCGGCAGGTTCTCTGTCAGCAACGGAGAGGACTGTCAAACTGTAGGATGCCATGCCAGAAGCAACCAAAAGACATGCACCTTCTAAGGCAAAGCCCTCATCAAAAGTGGCGTCATCAGTTATGTTTTCCTACAATAAGGGAAAAAGGTTTTTGTTTCAAACTCAAGCTAACCTAAAACAAATTACAAATTGAACGGCTCCGGTAGGTCCGACCTTTTCCTGCGCCTACTGGGTTCATTACGATATCGCTTCTTCCAAATTTCCTTTCCTCTGTCCCGATGTTGGCCCACGTTTTCAGCATCAGGCGGGGAGGGGCCCATCGCCACCAGCTCGTCTCTGATACCCAAAAACCCTCCGCACACGGACTCCCTGAAGGCCAGGTTAGAGGATAGGACAGCGCTACTTCCAACTCTGGACAACTCCACCCCAAGAATTTCTATAGATATACCCTGAGAAGAGGTAATGCGACAAAGCTTGCCTCACAATTCTTAGATGGTCCCCACCTGGGCATACCTCTTCCAAGGAGGGTGCAAAGGGGGAGGCGTGGGCAGGGCCAGTGCTAAATTTACCCGGTCTGTCCGCCTTTCATCTTCCCCATGCGGATTTACGACCCCAAATTCAGATCCAGCTTTACAACTCCACACAAGCTTTATCTTCCTCAGAAATGCCGCGATGTCGAAACGTGGGTCCTCCTCCACGCTTGCCGATCGTCCCTCGCAACTGGCACTAGCACCCCACCATCCGTCCCCCCTTTGAATCGAAGCTGCCTCGCATCTCAATAGGGCTTCTCAGTAACTCCGTCTTTCTGTACGTCGTTGTTTCTTCTAACGGGAGGGGAATTCCAACTCCTCATCTTCCTCCTCCTTCCTCCGCCATAGCCTTAATCTCTGGATCCTTTCTACTCCTCTTCTTCTTACCGACAACGGCGACGCCCTCGTCGTCATCGTCCTCGGTCCCTCTCTCGCATCGCCTCCTCCTCCTTCTTCGCCTCCATCTTCATTCATCCGTCTTGTGCCGCTCTTTCCCTCTCTCATCCATCCGCTAAGGTGCCTCCCTTTTACATGGTAGGAAGGTAGGTAGGTAAGTATTCAGGTCGGAAAAGGAGTGTGTTGTTGTTGTTATTATTTTTGTGGAAGTATGGTGGTCCCAGATCAATAGGGAAATGAATCATGATGGTTACGATGGGTGGATCAATTTAGTAAGAACTTGGGTCTATTTAACATACTCCTATTTGTATTATAACAAATAAAATTTAAATTATTAGACACACAATCAACTTTACAATTATTGTAAGATTATGCAATGCACCTAGAAAGGTATGGAAATAGAAGTTTAAATTGATATAAAAATACAAAGGTTACCCAAATGAATACATGTTTAATGCTTTGATAAGATTTGTGTAAACATGGTAAAGTCTTAAAGAAAAATAATAAAAATAAACAGTAAAGTCATGTGTCAATGTACATCAAATTATGCAAGTTATATATATATATATATATATATATACACCATGTAAATATTTTTAAGATCGATTTTTTCTAAGTAAATGTATGTATTATTAATAATATGAATTTTAAAATTAAAATGTAGAAAAAAAAAAAAAAAAAAAAAAAAAAACAGCAAGATATGTTTGGTAGTTAATTGTAAATAAATCCAGTCATTCACAGTCTGATTTCTTGTTTTCTTTATAAAAAGTAAACCACATTAAATCTCCTAATTTTACATTTATTTTGGATTTTTTTAATTAAGAATTAATCACAATTGTATCAACTTCTAGGTTCTTTTATATAAACTACAATTTTCATATTGTTGACACAGATCCAATAAACCAATCATTTGCTGTTGATCTTTCAACATCTATTTATTTTTTAATTGGTTTATTCAATTTATGTTGGAATTTTCTTTATGAAAAAATGTATGTTGCTCTTGTAAGAAAATTAAGCCAATAATAAGAAGTTCACTCAATTATCTTATTGACTATTTATACTACAACAAGAATATTCTTTTGAAGTTTAATTGATGTGTTTAGCTTGACTATTTTTTGTGGATGAATCTTTATACAAAATTTGGTTTTGAAGCTCGTGAATAAAGTTTTTTAAAAAAACTAATATTTTGATACAATTTTTAATATTTCATGCAATCAAATAATTTTTGGAAGTAAAGAAATATAACAGATGATATTAAAAATACTGTTTGTATACACTCGGAATATTTGTTTGGCACAATAAAATTGGGTAGCTTCAATATAAAAAAAGTATGAGATTTTTAAGACAAAGTCTTTATTATTAATTAAAAGAAGATTTGTAGTAAACTTATTAATTATAGGGCAAATGGTTTTTTCAACCAAGAAGTGGTTAACGTATATATATATATATATATATATATATATATCATTTTATTGAAATAAGAATATTTATTGTATATTTTTTAATAAGTTTTTGAAGCAAATTTTTTTATAATATGTGTTTTTATGTATTTTTATATATTTTAATCAATGTATTAATTTTTAAACAGTATTCTTAACACATCCTGTGATTTAGTATATAAGTTCTATTAGAATATAGTATATAATATGATACTATAAATAGTATTTTTAATCATCAAATTGGATAAGTAAAACCTTAAAAATATACTTTTAAAATTTGAAGGAGATAAAATATTATTAAAGATAATAAAAGCTATAGGATCTTCTTTGAATATTTGTAAGATTGCACTTTTTTTATAATATTTCCTACCTCTAGAAGTTGTTTATCAATAGCTTCATTGCATGCTTAAAAGAGTTTCTTAATTACTCTTAATTGTTGTTTTTTGACTAAATCTTTATCAAAAAAATATGGTAAAGCTTTACTAGATGAATTTGTTTTACAAGAATACTTAATCCTTAATATAAAAACAAAATACAATTTATGGAAGTATAAATAAATGTACTTTTGCTAAAAAAATTGTTATATCAATTATATGGTTCTTATTACAATTAATTTAATATTATTTTTTGATAGGTTATTATTACAATTAGTATGAAATATAAAGTATTAAAGTTATCCTTATTAGAATAATATTTTATGATATGGTTTGTTTTATTGAAATATATTATTATTTTTTAATATATATATATATATATATATATATATAACCTAATAAAACTATAGTAACAACAATAATAAACATGACAACAATTTTTAGTTTCTTTCTCAAATGACCAATATAATTGAGGAGTTGATCTCCTATAAAGTTGAGTTAATCAATCCACAACATCCAATAGATTTGGGCCTAGAAGTAAATAAACCAATGCAATGCCTCCCACACTTTATATGTCAAATAATTCTCTTGACAAAAAACTTTATACTGCTACTATTAAGAAGCAAAACACCATATAACAATCCTGCTTCACGGCCTTCTAAATAAAATGAATACAATCCATACAAATCCACAGTAGTCTTTATAGATCCATTGTCAATAGTCCATGAGGTAAAAGTTTAATTCTTATTAAGTTATATATATATATATATATATATATATATATATTTAAAAATTTAACCAAGTTGCATCAATTTGCAATAAATCATCTTAACCTTGCTTGTAATTACTTATAATAGTAGAAGTTGTTGATATAGTAATTTGGCATACACCACTCTATCTAAATAGCTTTTCTTATCGCCTTTTAAATAATCAACCATCATATTCAACCACTTGTAGAATAAATTCATTCTGGGTGCTGCTGAGACTTGACATTATATATATATATATATATATATGGATAGAGAGAAATTTCTGTTTATTTTAAAATCTAACAATAATAACACAAACATTTGCATGATCTAAAAACTTACAAAAAGTTTTAGGAGGTGCTAGAAGTCATAATTTATAGTGTGATTGTAACACATAGATACAAAGTTTATAATAAATATTAAAGTAATTAAAATTACAATGATTTTAATCTTGAAATTCATGTACAAACTTCAAAATATTATTTTATTTTCTTATAAAGTTTAAAAGTAAAAAATTATAACAGTCATTATAATTGTAATGTTTCTAAATTAAACAAACTTTGTCTTTACCTCTATGACTAAAACATCATCCAATATACATATAATTTTCTTTAATTTTTTTCTCACCGAATCTTTTTGTCATGCCCTTATTTTCTCTATTGCTCCACAATAGACCATACGTACCAACACATTCCATTAAATCAAAGAATGTGTGCACCTAATCTTCCAAACTTTCTATATTTATTTGATGTATTTATTTAAGTGATAAACCTTAGATTTTCATTACGAGATATACTAAGTTGTATCATGATCTCTTTACGCACTACGAAAAATCTCCACTTATTTTAAGCATCGCCGATAATCCAGCACATAGAGAGATTATGGAAATTCATGGTGCTTGAGCTTTGCAGTTACGGGAGCAGCCTGGCATGAGATTCAGATGTGGACCAAGCTCCATTACAAAATCATGCACGAGCACCGCGTTTCCGGAGCAATTAAAGGCTTAATTGGTGCTCACACTCACGGAGCTCTTGCCTCCGGTTAGCACATCTCCCAAGTCAAAACGCTATTTTGCTGCAGCTGACCACCACTCTCGAAAACAAGCTCACATTCTAGCGCTGCAGATTCACTGCGACTTCGGCAAAAGCTCGGAGAGAAGCCACTGCGAGCAACCCCTCATGAGAGCAACAGGACACTACACCCAGCCCGCAGATCAATCGTCCGATCCACAGCTATCGCATCCGCGATGGTCCTCTCAACTGAAACAGTTCTTATCGGATGGCCGAAACAGAAAATTTTATATATATATATATATATATATACATATAAATAAATAAAAAACCAGGTCGTC